TAAATCTAGATAAATTAGGTAAAAGATTAAATCTTATTGGTGCGGCTAGATTAAATTTTACACAATCTGATTGGCGCCGACAGGACGAAGTGAGACGAAATCATGAGGTGGGATCTAGAATTTTGAAAAGGCAATAATTTAAGTTGGTACAATAACCGCAAATTACTGAGATACTTTTAACTGGTGTAAATTTGACTATAAACAATTTTTATATAAGCAAATATCTATAGATTAACGCGTTAACCTAACAAATTGCTCCAATTTATTGTAAACCCTTGAATAATTATATAGCTGCCTATGGGTCTATATAGGGTAAACTCACTGTGAGTAATTCCACGGTGTTTTTCGATATGTAATAAAAGTGTAAAAGACGAAGACTTGATTTAGTTAAAAAAATTTTTTTTCCAAAAATTACAACAGGACAAAATAAACAGTTATGGGGAATTTATTTGAGCACAGGTTGTGATATTTGTGAAGATAAAATTTGGTATTGTAACAAATCAATAAAAACTGATTAAGAATGGCAGTTGTTGTACGTGCAGTACAAGTATTAACATAAGCTCGAAAATTGTTTATGCCTCAAACCCCCTTTTTCTAGTAAGCATAATCCAAAGCACAGTTTCTGTTTCATTTTAACTTTAATCCGCCACACATGTATTATAAAAAACAAACTTTAAAATTCTTGTGATTGTGAAAAAAAAAACAATTATAGCATGTGTAAACTTTATAAATTGGATAACAGAAATAGTTGAGCAGTTTAACAATTCTGCGTCCGTCGTTTGTTGTCGGGAAACGGTAAAGAAATAGAAAATCCAGTAACCATTTTTATTTAATCGTTGTGCTATACACGTAATCTCAAAATTACGTCACAATTCGTAGATTACATTACACCCAGTACAGTATATACGACGTAAAACATACCAATCCGATAAATACACATTTTATACATTATAGTATATTAGCTGGCTTTAATCCTTATCTGTCTTCCTGTTATATGTAGAGGAGTGTATAAAAAAGGAGAGTAAGTGAAATTTTAGAGAACAATGATATGGAGAGCAATAATAAGAGAATGTGTAAGTAGAAAAGGGTTCAACATCTCATTGGCTTCCCAATAAAGATTGTTAAGCTGAAGAAATGGAGCCGGTAATAAATTAAGACTTTATCGTTCAAACTGCTTATTCTGCTAGTCTTATTTTCTGGTTTTTAGAGAGGAATACAAGAAAATTGGTATAACAATGTGGAGAAGTCTGAGTCAAGAGGAAAAAAGAGGGGTTCAAATGAACGAAAGCAATTCGAGTTGAATGCCAGCCGCCAACACGGATTCCGTTCAATGCTACCAACAAATGGTGGTTTTACTTTCGTTCAGGGTATGATTGATGAATGGCTTCGTGTGAAGGGTTTGTTATCTCATCCCCTTCAACCCGTAAGTCATGCGTGCTCGCGTATTGAGGCTGAATTGTCAAAAAAGAGTTTGAACGCGTTTGTTTTTAAAAGAGGGAGAGTATCAAACGAACGAAGGCAATTCGAGTTGAATGCCAGCCGCCAACACGGAACCCAAAACAATATTACACCCCACATTGATTGATAGATGCATATCCACAAAAATAGTTTGTTTCGGGTATGAATGAAGCACAACAATGTGGTGTATTAAAATTTTATGCTAATAGTTCTATCTATGGTATGAACTTTACACGTTCTGTACTGGGACCGTCTGGTAAAAAATTAGATTCGGATTTCTCTGCTCTCTTGCGGCTTACCTTGGAAACGATGAAAATCTGCTTTGGTGTCTCTTTTATTTAACTTCCTTCCCTTCATGTTGGCGTCCTACTATGTGGCTAAGTATATACTGGTATTCGTTTATATTACTACTAACAGTCTATTAGATAAATCTTTATTCAATATGTCTTGGTATAAAAACATCAGTCTTGCAATTCTGAAGTTTTTTCTCTCATCCTCAGCATTACTCTCTTTTTTGCCAAGTAACATTGAAGTCAATGGCACCATATGATGATTGTGTGTGTGAAGACAGCTAGAACTCTTGGCTATGTAACTAAAGAGGCAATGTGTTTTGCCCAGAGTTGCATTCTGGATATAAGCATCGGCATACTCTTGGATTTATCAGGGTAGGTGTATTACTCTTGCATTCTTGAAAACGGAGAAAGAATTAGAGGACGGTAATACAGGGTTTAAGAATAATGATAGTGATAGCGAGTAATATATATAAGTTAAACGTCACATATAAATACACATTTTTTATTGCAAGAATGCGATAAGAAAAGATGACACATTATGATACTAGCTTGTACTACTAAATCTAAAAGGAAAATGCTTAACAATTTGTATATTCACATATGTAATTTTAGAGGATAATATGTTATATACGCAAGGTCAATTCCTTCATCTGTATGGATTGACTAAAGTTACTTCTTCGCAGACTTTGTCACCTGAGGTGAAAGGATTATCGCACAATTTATCGCATGGGGTTCCGGTTTTCACAAAGACGCGGTGTTCATTGCCTGCAGACGCCAATGGATAGCCTTTTGGTCATTATTAGCATCCGCCTTGAACCCAGGACGGCAGACGCACTAAAGAAAGGTAGGAATCAATCAATCAAATCAACGACTTGAGGAAGGAAGAAAAATAAAATACTGCTCACCATGGCACCTTGATCAGATGTTACAAAGCAACTAGTAGTTGCATCGCATTCGTTTAAGGAGGGTTGTGGTTACACTCAACACACAGAGGTTCGCGCTTGCAGGTGGGGCTGCATCCGTCGCCATTGCGTTTATTTCCGTCATCACATTCTTCAATCGGAGAGTCAACGATGCCGTTTCCACATTTGAACTTGCAGATAGATGTATCGGTCCAATCACATTCTTCGTCAGGGGAGTCTACAACCCCATTACCAAAACGAGCTTGCAGTTTGCGGCACAAAATTCTGAACCGCTGGGTCCATCATCACACTCTTCACCAAAATCAACACGAAAATTGCCACAGACTTCCGAGCAACACTCTTGATCCGGCCGGGATCCAAGTTGCCATCATCACACTCTTCGCTGCCTTGGCGTATGCCATCACTGCAAATAACACAAGAAAGACTGTATAAATCACATATGCGTCTAGTCCAGCGGGCTTGGATTGGGACCTCTACGAATACTGTCTTTGGACTCAGAGTAGTCAAGGTTGTGCCAGAGCCATCTGCTCGGCCAAAAGCATTTTCGAAATAATGCATCAAAGAACTAAATCATATGCTCCGGAAGAGTCTTGATCATCTTTTTTGACAAAGTTGCATTCTCGGCTACAACAACTGTCCCTTTGTGATTACAAATCCAGACGTTCGTACGGGACAGGATTTACCATCTTTATCCGGTCCATCATTAATGTTCTCAGGGAAAACTGTCACGATCCTTGCGTTGGTGTTCATGCCACAAACCTAAAAACTCATGAGCCGCATTATCCGTATTACAACCAGGCTGCGTTATCTAACAATGGAAGAATTAAGTAAAGAATTGACCCTTCGCTGATAATAGAATGATATAATAGGAGGTCAAGATTCATACTACTCTTGCGGTTGTTTACCCATCCAATGTTGCTATTAACCCACCATCTGATATTGCTGATCTCAATGAAGGCTCCAGTGACACTAGGATTATACACAAACTGGAGGCCAGAAATGACGCTCGTCTACCTCCTATTTGCCGCCGTGACAATAGCATCCAAAGCAGTCTTGGCAGCATTGTCAACATATTTGTAAGGGAGGCGGGCACCTGGCCATGGCCGCTCTGTCCCAGTAGTAGCAAAAATGGAGTGAGCTCTCTTGCTGATTTGAGTATCATTGTTGGCAGCTGCAGCCGCAGCAAGGAGTTTTGAAAGTGTGCCATAGACAATATCGCCTTCCACTATAGCATTGTTGTCAGGAGTGACATAGTATGCCACATTACGAAGTCAAGGATTCGAATGGTTTTGACAGTTGCATTGAAGGGTTCGTCAACGATAGCCGGAGGGTTTGGTGGACGGGTATAGTTGGCCGGTTGAGCATTTAAAAGCTCCGCCATGATGAGGACAGACAAATGAATAGAATTGAATTGAATCGATTCATCGTTGTTGAGACGTTATTCTTTCTCGCTTTCTAACTTCAGTCTTAATGACTGCTTTTAAGTGTTTGGTGGGGTGGCAAGATCTTTTATTCTCAAAGACATCGTTGCGTTGTTGTTGACATTCAATTAATAAGTTCGTTTTACAGAAATGATTCATTGTCATAGTCATTACTTTTTTTTTTGAACCATTTTAATGTTAGTATTTCCTGTATTTTTAGGTTTCTACGTAGAAATTTCCATTGTCAATCATTTTCTTTTTCAGGCAATAAGATGCATAAAATTTAATGTCAGTCATTTTTTTTTTTTAATGTATGGTATTTCTAGAGGCTGCGTTTCAATAATAAACGAGCGAAAACGGAAATGCAGGATTAAAAAAACAGATGCTAATGTCAACCATGACGCCTGTTCTGATTTGAGTAAAAAGAGCATGAAATTAGACATTGGTATTATTCTTCAATTTTCGAGAATATTCATTCACGTTTAGATACAGTAATTATAATTATAATATGTAATATAAACAAAATATGTTACACACATGTAAATACAGTTAAGTAAATATAGCAGTGTGGATCGTCAGAGCATGCACTTGTGTAATAAGTAGATGTAGTGACATTTACGATTATCTATTTAAGTTGAAATTATGTCCTATGAATAATCACTTGGCCGAATGACTTCTTAGTATCGTAAAGCAATTGTGTGTCCATGACGTGATTTTTGAGATTATGAGCCATGATACCCGCAACGATTAGGTAACAGAAAATCGTCACGGGGATTCAGCATCAGCGTCGTCGCCTAACCAAATAAAGTAAATGATCGACTTATCCTGCACAAATATATAGTGTATTATATAGACGATAAAAATTGGGGATGTGAAAGTTGGGAATAGGGATATATCTGAGTGGGATACAACTGAGGTATATTACATGGAATTGGAATAGGGAAATTCGTCCGGCGTTGCAGCTGGGATATAACTGAAGGGGATATAATTGAGGTATGACTGTATTTATAATGGTTCATATGTTAGATTTACATATTATCGGGGTTACAATAGCTCACTGTCTGTGCAAGGAATGTGGCTTTCCCCCCCCCTGCATTAGCTGTCGCAAGAGCGGGAGATGAAAACCCTTATCAATTCTCTGATAGAACTATCGTTATTATATCTTTTTAAGTGATCATAAAATAGGATCTTTTTAAAGGATTGTACAAACCCGTGGGCAGACGGTGACACACACGCATGTTTACACATTAGATCTAGATCTGTCATTCATCAAAGGACTTTTCTGGTTATAAATTAGCCACTGCTATATAAGGTAAGTTCATACAGATCGAAATCAACTGGGGTTGGTCAGCATTTTTTTTCTTTTCGCTGCGCTGCTGTAAACAACAAAGTGCAGAGTGGACATAAAAAACGATTTGACTTTAGATTGTCAGTATAGACATGCTTATTTTTCTCTCCTATATAAGTTTTCACAATTCGAAATCAACTGGGGTTGGTCAGCATTTTTTTTTTTTGCTGCTGTAAATAACAAAATGCAAAGTGGACATAAAAACCGATTTGGCTTTTTTTTTAGAGATTGTCAGTATAGACTTGCTTATATTTGATTTATTTTTCTTCTGTCCTATAGGTTTTCACAATGAATCATCCACAGATAAAAATTAATTACGATCCAGCCGCTATACGCCAGCGACCCTAATTACAGCCAAAATCCACCCCATTTACCATCTAATATACATAATCCAAGTGCTAAGTATCCATTTAATTCGCTACTCAATAATTTATTGTCATATCTCCAGCAGTAAACAATCAATCCCAAAATGGTTGATCCAGTCAGGAGTAGTTTCATGCCGGATGTTCCTACATCTCCACACGCTAAGGCGATGATGAATCTGAAAAAAAATTCTCTAATTATTTTTGGGTCAGTTGCGAAACGAAAAATATGTTACCATGATGCACAATATAATGACTGCAATATGCATGTCTCCTACTGGAAGAGCGCTCTGTAAGCACTGGAAGTATTTGTTTTAAGGCGTACTTACATACGATAGTAATTTGTTATTATTCCTTTTTTATAGTATGTCATCGAATTCCAACCCTTATCATATTGTTATCGTTGTACGTAAATTTTAGATAATGTTATTTATATTTCTCGGTTAATGCCATCCTTTGTTTCTCTTTAATTGTTCTAATGAAGAGCCTTACGTATCACCAACTATTTATTCATATACTCGTATTAACTGTAAAGTTTAAATAATTCCAACATTAACCATTGTTATAAGTTATTGACGCACAAACACTTTCTGACTTTTGTGTAACAGTTGGCTAGATCAGATGACGAGAAACAATGAAAACGCCGATGTTGTCCACCTGCATTTTGTATAACACGACGATTTATTTTTATCGTATATGACTATTAAATTGTTCCGGTTGTCTATTTGCTATTTTTAATAGCAAGTATATGGCTCTCATGGCGCAGTCTAGTTTTAACTAGCTTATTAATAAAGACTCGCATTTTTGTGTAGCGTAGTGCAATAATGTTGTACACTACCATTAAACATTTGTGGCACCTACCTCACAATTTTCTAAATGTCTTCTTACTAATTAGGACGTGAGAAATAATACGGGATGTTCTAATTTTGGCAAACAAGAACAACTGCTTTACACTACGTGAATAGATTGAAGCATCACTCTAAGTACCAACTTATGTTTAATACGCTAAGAATTGATAATTTCTGAATAGAATAATTCAAACAATAGTAATCGCGTAAATAATGATATCCATTTATAAAAATTAGAAAAGTATTTAATGTAAGTTTCTAATAAAAAGATGTCTTACTAATAGCTCACTGTCTGTGTGACTTTTTTTTTTCTGCCAAGTTTTTCTTCTGTCGTAGATCATCTGTCGCAAGGGGAGATACTAAACACCCCTTAACAATCGTCTCTATTGAACAACACTGTAAGTGGGCTCAAGTATTTTATTCGTTGCTATTTTTATTATACACATATTTAAGTAACGTTTACTTATTATTAAAACAGTTGTATGATGAATTGCACGACACATGTCAATCTCTTACCCCGAAACTAATTCTGATACTTTATCTAACAATACATATAAGTATTGTACAAACAAGGGACACACGCATAGTACATGCATTAATGTTGTCACTCATCCCTGGTGAACTAAGAATTTGGTAACGCCCTTACGATTATATAAAGCAGGCGAGAATGATACGTGATCTGTGTGCTCAAAAAAATATATTTTTTTGGTCGACGTTACTTTTCTCTTGTCACTGCAAACAATAAGACGTAGAGAGTACGTAAAAAACCTCATTAAAATTCGGTTTTGCTTTTTTTTTTAGAAATTTGTCAGTTTTGTGAAACTATTAACACAAAAAAGCTTTTTCTCTACGCTTTATTTCTCTACAGATTTTCACAATGGATCATTCACAAACAAAGGTTAACTACGGTCTTACACGGCCACCAATGTCCGTATACACCAATCCTCATTACGGACGCAGCTACGATCCTAATTACATCCAAAATCCACCCAATTTGCCCAATTACCCATCGCCGTATGGTCCTAATTATAACTCATCGCCATATAATCATAACTACAGCCAGAACCCACCAAATTCACCACCCAATAATCCACCAGCATATAATTATAATCATGGCCAGCCACTCAATTCGCCACACAATAATTCAGCATCAAGTTCTCTAGCATTAAATAGGGATTTCAATTCCCAAACGGTTCCTCCAGCCGGAAATAATTCCATGTCGAATCCTCCTACGTCTGCACCCAGCCGAGCCGACAACAGAGCTGCCGTATTTGCTTTTCTAAATTCTCTAGCCAGGGGAAATGCACCCCCGGAGGTTGCTCGGAGGGCTTGGCTAATCCTACTCTTACTAGTGGGTGGTGTTCTTCTTGTCGTAGGATTTAAATTTTTGGTCCCAAGTAAAGGAAAAAGCAGAGCTTGTAGAAGACGATGTGCAAATAGTTATCCCATTGGTGACTGCTTGGATGCATGCCTCCATGATTCTACCTATACAAAAGCCGGTTTGGTACTCGTAAGCGCTGGAGGTGTTTTACTTTTAATCTTTCTGGCTATACTACTGAGACCTAAATTTAAAAGTAGTGATACTGTACAACCATCATAAAATAGTATTAATTTTTTGTAACTTATTTGTTCTACTACATATAAACTGCTTTGATGTTGAAAATAGTGGTTAACTGACTGGTAGTCTAGCATGATATTTATATTTTCTCAGCAAATGTACTTATACTAATACCGCAAATGCATCACCAATTATTTTACTCTGCTCTTAATTACTTGTCTGGATTAAAGATTAGTATTGGTTTGCGTAGTTAATCGGCAACATTCATTATTATAGAAACACATTTTTAAAGTTTTTGGGCCAGTTCATACACGTATGTAATTTATTTGATTGATTACTAATTGTCTCGTTTAATCGACATCCACATTAGTAAATTAGTTTCGATAATTCACCACTCATCACTACAGCTAATTTTCAATTGACTAAGAAAGATAGTAATAGATATTGCTGAGCCTACTAAATTATTGTCATATATAAACTTTAATTATTTGTACTCCTGGTAACGGTGTTTTAACTTTGGGTTTTTTTCTATAGCTGATAACATTTCTTCCGATTATAAACAGGCCTAATAAAGAGATACTGCGCGACTGAAATAAATCTATAAGAATTTTTATAGACTTGTATCATTCGGTCTTTTTAAGCAATCATATTTTGCAATATTATTGGTAGCGGAGCATAGAAGCGGATGAGAAAACAATTAGAGTTGAGGTCTGGTGTGTCCTAAGACCTGAAGATTGTGCTCCCTTTACATAACCCAGCTGCATGACGCCGTTATAACACATACTATATTAAGACAAATTATGAAGAATGAAAAGCGGACTGATATTTAGATGAGTTGGTTTCTGATGTGGGAAGAAAGTTTTGTTATAGGACCAGTTTTTATAATCTCAAGTTCTAGTTAGACAGCAACTCGCATTGATCGATGAGCGAAAGGAAATCGCTATCCCGTAAAGATTCGTATTTATCAATAAAAAGACAAAGCTGTCTTTGTGACTTACGGCATTCTGTTATTATCGGCTTCAAAACAATAAGACATTCATAACGCTATAAAATAGAGGAAACCATTAGCGGCGTCCAAGTTATCATTTGAGATAGTCGTTATTTAAAATTTTACATAAACTGTAAACGCCAAATATGAATCAATATCCTGGAAGAGCAGTTTAATATCATTGACAATGTTGCAATGTTATGGAAGAATTAAGCGTGGTATACAGTACGTTCCTTCACACATTGACTAGGATTGCTCTCTGGTTCGACGACGATATGTGTTATCGATGCACAATGATTGGTTCATTTCGTTTCTAATTGTACCACGTCACACAAACATATAACAAACGAATTTCACTGCACTGTTAAAAATTACTTCGGAAAACTAAATACGGTTTTGTATTTGGCATGGACCACAAGTATTCATTGTCAGCAGACAGCTGGGTAAGTTTTTGGTTAATACATTCAATGAGCTCCTTTTAAGAGAATTTTTCTGCTCCAAACAACTCTTTCAATACTCATAATAAAACTACAACTCATTAATATTAATATTATTATTATTAGGAGATTGGACAGCAATCGTCTTCAGGTACCAAAAACAAAGGGAAGGAGAAGCAGCATGGAGATGCAGAGGTTGAAGATGTCACGGAAATAAACCTCATCACTTTTGAAAGTGACAGTGAGAGTGATTCTGAAGACTGTGAACAATTAGTTCCACTGAGCAGCATTGAATTAAATGAAAAATTAGCAACCAACTTGGAATCAATTGTCAACAATAATGATAGGACAAGTCATTTTATTAAATTATATGACCTGTTACTGTCATTTGGCACTTCATTAGATGATAACCAATTAGTAAATGCCTTGAAAATCATAGCATGTGGGGTTGAATATGATCACTACACAATGACTACTGGTATGGAATTGGAACTGCATTTTAGGATATATGCATTACTTTTAGAAGTATATGGCAGGCAACCTCTTAAAATGGCAAGGAAATTTTATGAAACACTGTATGAAAATCTTGTACAACTACATGATTTTTACCAGTCTTATATCAAAGCATTAGAGAATGGCTTGAAAACTACATGTAACTTGTTGACTAATTTGGAGGAAGATGTTAATGTTCAAAATTACAACATTAATTTTTTACTTATGCATCTTTATAATACTCTTTATATGATGGATGATGATAAAACTGTTTGGCTTGAAATTATAGATCAGTTAAAGGCTTTGTTTTCTGTACTTGTTGAGACTTTACCTAGCATGATTGGTATTATGACAAATGGGGAAACTCCAATTGATAACAAAGCTACTATTGATATTTATAACAAGATTCACAAGACCTTGCAATCAAAGTTTTCTGTGGGACATTGGTACAAGGAATGGAGATATCTATATAGCATATATCAAGCATTTGTTGAATGGTCAGCTGTTCCAATTCACAAGAATCTAGTTATTAAAGGAGAATTGATGCTTATTAAGGATCTTTGGAGATTTGGAGACCAAGAATGGCATAAGGCAATTTCAGCACAATCAGAAATGAATGGGTTTAAATCTAAACTAAAAATCATACCAGATCATATCTCAGAATCAGTTCCATATTCTTTATTGTTTGGTATACTGGATATTGCTCAGAATCTTATAATCTCTACAAAAATATTAGTACCTTGGCTCATTGTTACTATCTTGCAAAGCTATCCCTAGACATAGTAAGAGTAGAGTTTATTCAATTTAAAGCAATGGAAGTTCTTGCAACACTTTATAGAAAAGATTCGATTACATTTTCTGTTGTGCAAGTTGATCTAGATCAACATGCTGAAAGTTTTTCCACTTTGGAACAAGATAAAAAATGGCTTCAAGACATGAGAGAATACATTGATAAAAAATATGCATATATTAGTCGGGCAGGCAGCAGAGTAAATTTTGAAATGTCAGTCTTAAGACAGAAAGCAAAAAAATCAGACCAGATGCCTGAAGAACTTCTTAATTCAAATCCAAATGATCTGTTGATTTTAGACATGGTTGCAGATCATCTTACATGTCCATTTACACATGAAGTTACAGAAGATTTCTAGCATCAAATTTCTCTTTGACTTCTTTAGATCTTCATTGGAATAATATTGGAGATACAGGAGCAACAGCATTGGCAAAGGCTCTAGAATCAAACTCCTCTCTGACTTCTTTAGATCTTCAGTGGAATAATATAGGAGATACAGCAATAACAACTTTGGCAAAGGTTCTAGAATCAAATTCTTCTCTGACTTCTTTGAATCTCCAGGGGAATCAAATTAGAGCTACAGGAGCAACAGCTTTAGCAAAGGCTTTAGAATTGAATTCTTCTCTGACTTCTTTGAATCTCCAGTCTAATCAAATTGGAGATACAGGAGCAACAGCTTTGGCAAAGGCCCTAGAATCAAACTCTTCTTTGACTTCTTTGAATCTCCAGTCTAATCAAATTGGAGATACAGGAGCAACAGCATTGGCAAAGGCTCTAGAATCAAATTCCTCTCTGACTTCTTTAAATCTCCAGGAAAATCAAATTGGAGCTACAGGAGCAACAGCATTGGCAAAGGCCCTAGAATCAAATTCCTCTCTGACCTTTTTAGATCTTCAGTGGAATCAAATTGGAGCTACAGCAATAACAACTTTGGCAAAGGTTCTAGAATCAAATTCTTCTCTGACTTCTTTGAATCTCCAATATAATCAAATTGGAGCTACAGGGGCAACAGCATTGGCAAAGGCTCTAGAATCAAATTTTTCTCTGACTTCTTTAAATCTCCAGGAAAATCAAATTGGAGCTACAGGAGCAACAGCTTTGGCAAAAGCTCTAGCATAAGCTCTAGCATCAAATTTCTCTTTGACTTCTTTAGATCTTTATTGGAATAAAATTGGAGATACAGGAGCAACAGTATTGGCAAAGGCTCTAGAATTAAACTCCTCTCTGACTTCTTTAACTCTCCAGGAAAATCAAATTGGAGCTACAGGAACAACAACTTTGGCAAAGGCTCTAAAATCAAACTCCTCTCTGACTTTTTTAGATCTCCAGGGGAATCAAATTGGAGCTACAGGAGCAACAGCTTTGGCAAAGGCTCTAGCATTAAATTCCTCTTTGACTTCTTTGAATCTCCAGGAAAATCAATTGGAGCTACAGGCACAACAGCTTTGGCAAAGGCTTTAGCATCAAATTCCTCTTTAACTTCTTTGAATCTCCAGGAAAATCAAATTGGAGCTACAGGAGCAACAGCTTTGGCAAAGGCTCTAGCATCAAATTCCTCTTTGACTTCTTTAGATCTTCATTTGAATAATATTGGAGATGCAGGAGCAACAAACAGCTTTAACAAAGGCTCTAGAATCAGATTTCTCTCTGACCTCTTTAGATCTTTAATGGAATAATATTGGAGCTACAGAAGAAACAGCTTTGGCAAAAGCAAAAGAATCAAATCCCTTTTTGATTCTTATATTATAAAACTAGATTAGTAAGAGACCTATAATAAGACCACGTTCAAACTCAGTAAGCTCTTGTTGTTCAGTCATTTTCTACTAAAAAATAGCCAAGTAATGTTTGCGGCTTAGATGTAGATTGCATCATAATTATCACATGCATGGAAATGTGATTTTGGAGCATTGTCAACAATGATCCGAAGTCGGATAAATAATAATAAATTTGGGCTCTAGTTTCTCAACAACAAAGAAAGCTATTCGGTTAACCTTTTTTGCATTTAATAGCAGTTTATTTACGCTTTCAAATGAATGTAAATGTGTATATATTTATCATGTGGAACCGGTGTTTCAACAATTTTAAACTTTTAGGTCGTTCAGCTTGATTTTAACTGTTTCGGTAACACAAAACGGTAGCTATATATAAACATTATCACATTACTAGCTGACATACTACAATTTTTTGTACATATGTTGTACATTAGATGCGCTAACTTCAGTATTAGTTTCACGGTAATCGCATTGCTTGTTATGTCTGTCAATATTTGCATTTAATTGCAAATTTAAGGGGTGTCAGCGACTATCGAATAGTACCCTAGATTCAAAATTCGATT